AGATGAGAAATTTGTCAAAATTATGCAACTCAATCAACTATTGAAAATTTAAAAATAATTTAAAAATAATAATTAATCATTGTCACCCTCATTCGTAGGCTTGTCTGTCTGTCGGGTGCTCCTTTCCATTGGGAATATTTTGTATCAAAAAACTATTTCTTTTTAAATAAAAATGCCTGTTTTATATAAAAACGAATTGATTAATTTATTGTGGAGCGTACCCTTCGGCCTCAAAAACCGACTATGGGTTCCTAAATAGTTTCCAATTATCCCAAGGGATTTCTATTTCTGGTTAATAGGTTTGTTTACGACTGACAACATTAACAGTTCAATTCGCAATTACTTTTCTCTTTGGACATTTAATTCTATTTTAGACGTGACAGTGTTATTTACGAATAAAAAGTAAGGCTGGAATTAATACAGTCCAACGGTAAAAATCTGTGTTCAAGTAAGCTATATCACCTTATAATGAACATGAAAAGAACTATCTCTCCAGACGACTCGTTAAATTTAAAACATGATTTAGGTTACAGTCAACAAGCCACGATCTCGTAACAATACATTTCTTTAATATTTCTTTTAACTGACAGTACTAACAACTAAAACTGGTCTGGTAAAATAGTTTTTGTCTTATCGATAAAGAGAAGGTAAACCGATTGAAAAGACTCGGGATGGTGTCTGTCTACAATTTCCTAACGGGGTCTAATCACGCGATTTGAAAAACAAATTGGATTATGCCCTTATATGTGGCAAATATTCACAACAATAAACACAAATTTATTTCTTCCTGTTTCTCTCTTCACCTGGTGAAATTTGGCAGTTTAAAAATTAATGACTGCATTATCTGATGTTAATAAAAACACGATTCGTTTTTCCAGAAATAAACAGAACGATATATTATTATATTATTAAAAAATATTATATTAAAAACATATTTTAGGACGTCTCTAACCATATAGTATTACATTTATTACATCTACCACTACGACCTTTTTTTGACCTGTGCCAAAGGTCTTCGGATTACCAAATGACCAAGAAGAAGAAATCTTCGTGTTTTGCACGCTAGTAGACTTTGCAACAACCTGTATGTGGCAAATCTTCGCAATCACGAATATTCAAATAATTCCATTTATCATAAGTAATTAACTAACTTAACCTTAAAATAATGTTTCAGTAGATTTCAGTTTGGTTTCAGAACAAGTTTGAAAAATCTAATATTAGATCGTTAGTTTTAGTTTAGTTTTTCAATAAAACTTCTTATAGAAAACAGTTTACTATAAAAACACCCACGTCGATAGTGTTTTAAGTATTTTCAAAATCAACCAGCCAGCACAATACTTAGATAGAAACATAGATAGCGTAACTTCCATTAGGGCTAAAACACAAATGGAGATATAGTAATAGCCTAATGAAGGGAACACCTGGTAGTCATGGCCCCGAGAGACGACATTAATAGGAAGTTTCAGTTCAAGCAAAATTTCTAACAAATCTAACAATAAGCGCCACAAAAACAAATTGAGAAGAGGGTAAATTTCCCACCTTTGAGAACGGCACCATCCGCTGGTACTCGAATGGATCTAGAATGCAGGAAAGTACGGGGGCAGGAGTATCAGTCCTGGTTCCAAATACTAAGAACCCATGGGAAAATCACCGGTAACTTCCATGTTGAAGTCCACGCAATTGACAGGTGTACCCAGTTCAATACGAATAAAGTGCACAAATAGCCAACATGTCATATAGCCAAGCACTAACTCCAAATATGATTAGCCATATAGAAAATATGGCTGCATTGCAAAACTATACTAAATGGACTAGGTATGCTAAATAAAGTCACCCTTTGCTGGGTCCCAGGACCTGTGGGAGTACAGGGCAAGCAACGCCAAAGTATAGAGAGCGGACGCCCGTGAAGGATACCGCCGACAGGTCAGCAACAGACAAAATGAAAACGAGGAAACAATGGAATTCACTCATTGGATATTAACAATCCGAGAAACTTCAAGCAAACTTTGGAAGGAAAGAAACAACGAATAGCGTTGACACGGCGCTCATCATGTAAGGTAAAGGTCCCGTGTTCGAATCCAGCGGCCCTGCATTCGAAACCGACATACTTACAAACGGGCTTGTTTTTTCAAAAACATCGGCACCCTGAGGGTTTATATGTCTTCTGCTGTTGCGAACCCTAGGAAAAAAACCCTCCAATTTTATTTGCAAAACATTTTGATCATTGCTAAGGATTTTTTGTTAAATATATATTATTTACCTACAAAATGCAAATTATTTTTAAAAATGTTAGTTTCAGTATTTTACAAATTGATAGGAGAAAAACTTTTAAAACGTTGACTTCATTAATAGTTTGATGATGATGATGATAATAATAATGGCACGAACTTATGAATACAAATAGACCCAACATTAATTTTATATCTTAATTATTTTGTTGTTTCAGTTTCCCATAATTTGAGTAAGTAGTTAACTGATTCATATTGCATTTGGTTCTAAAGAAAAAATTCCCCATGTGGTCAGCGTGATGATGAACATGTAATTCGGTCATTGCTGACCATTTTGGTCTACCTATCCTCGCCAGAGATACGTTTTGGCGTTGGCCATCTTCAGTGTCTCTGTGTGATTTCTGTGACGGTAAGTTTTGTAAGATCGTGGAGGTGCGTGTGTCTGCGTTCTCTTTGTCTGTCGGCCTTTGGTGAATTAAGTCTTGGTTTTTACTTTCCCGCTAGATCTTTGTAAATTAATACTTCAAATTTAAAAGCAATCGAGAGGAAAAAATTAAAAAACGATCCCGTGCCTCATGCGTATTGTGAAAACAAATATGTACACCCTAAAGAACAGTCGAAACGAACCGAAACGATAAATATGTTTTTATAAAACATAAAGTCTTCTTTCTTCCCTGGCCTAGATGGCTAGATTGAAGTAAGAAAAATGAAATTAGACAATGTTTTATGCTAACGTTGCTCAATATAATACTATACCATAAAATATTTCAACAATTTAAACCTTTCAAAATGAGATGAACATAAACCGGAATAAAAATCCACGTAAACAGTTGCAAAAACACATACAATAAAATGCAGAAACTAGGGATTGCCAGGAAAACTATTGAAAATGTCAATAGACGTCACCGTTAACGAAAACGAAATAATAAAATAAGTCAATCCATAAAAATTAAATTCTAGTAATGCGATCCACGCTGGAAAGCAGATATATTATGGAATTGTGAAGTAAATGTTAAAGGTAAGGTGAATGTCTGAAAGCAATTGATGACGCCACACGTCCTTCTAGTAGTTTCCCCCGGTCTGACCGTTGCTAAGTCCCTCCTATCAGACGATTTACTTCATTTTTCTTTCGGCCGGTTGATGGATCAGTGATACATTTTGTAATTATACATAATTAATCAATGGCGGACATTATTTATTCAAGATCCGAGAAATCATTTTACCCAAAGAGGGTTACTAACCCTGTTTAAAGGTTAATGGCAAATGTCTCCCATCCAATCAATATTCGAACTGTCAATGATCCATAAATGTTTACAATTCTCCAGGTAACTTTGGAGACAGGACGGCAACATTTTCTTACCAACATTTTAACTATGCTGCAAGATTTAAATCAATTACAAAAACGGTGGACTAGTTTAATATTCAGTATTATATATTTTTACTCTTTAGAGAATCTGTTTGAATAAAACTTCTTGTAGTTCCAGCACTGGTTATTTTTATTTCTTGGAAAGCTTTTCAACTGCTTTGCAGTCATCCTCAGCCAATTAATTTTTTTTTAATTTAAATTTACCTAAAAACTAAATTTAATTTTTTTTACATTTAATTGGTTGAGGATGACTGCAAAGCAGTTGAAAAGCTTTCCATGAAATAAAAATAAACAGTGCTGGAACTAAAAGAAGTTATTCAAACACAGATTCTCTATTATGGAGTTCTATAGCTTGGTCTGTACCACTTTAGACAATATGTTTTTACACTTTAACGTAAACAACTAAGTTTTTTAACATTTTCATTTTGAGGGTTCATTTGTTCCTCGTTTGCGAAATTGTCGTAAACTCATCAATAGAAATGAAAATTAATGACCGGTAGTTAAACAACATGTGCAGGACCTATGAAACATACCAAAACCTTTCTAGCTCACTTTAAGAATTTAAATTAGCTGTTACATATGATGACTAGATTTAATTAGTATGCAAAATTTCCAAACTGTATTCAATTATTTAAACATTTGTTATTAATTTCATTTTGAACTTTATTAAATATTTATCACTGTCTAAATATGGCGAACAGAATCAAAAACGAATCAGCGAATTAAAATAAAAAATAAAAGCAAAAATATAGTATATTTCTACAGTATATATAGTATGTATATAGTATAGTAAACAAACTTAGTAATTAGAAATTAGGCGAATTAAAATTATCAATCTAAAAAAAACCTTCACACTAGCACACACTTTGTTATTTTCTTACGTCTTGAACACAAAAAATCCATAAAATCGGTTTTACCTATCAATGATATATATAACCTTAGTTTTTAGCCAGCCAAGTAAAACATTGAATTTAAAGGTTTCTAAAGTTATACACATGATGAACAAAGACTTAAATTGTTTTAAAAATAGTTAAAATTAATTCTGGCAACTTATTTACTAAGTCAGACAAATAGTTACATGAAGCAGTAAGAATAAAATGTGAAACTTGAACTGGCGATGACCTTATGCAAAACTTGGGGATAGAGGGACCCTTCCCCACATCGGCTATACGATCTGAAAGTAACATCCGCGTCAATATACCTTTCACTGTGCTGCATAACAGAAAAAAAAGGAAAATATAGATTGACCCATCGGGGGTTTTTCCACCATTATCAGTGGGTAATTTCGAAAAGTGTTAAGTGTCTCTTCCCATAATATATCTCATAATCAAAAGTCGATTCTGAATAATTTTGTATTATTGTGGAATATTAAAAAGCCGAATAACTTATGAAAAAGAAAAACTTACCCCTTCATTTCCTAGGAACTGTATAGTAGGAGTTTGACTGCTTTTATTCTGAAAAATAAAATTAAATCAAATTATTAAGGTGTTAGACAAAAACGTATATTTCGTACAAAGTGATTGGAGAATTAAATTTAATATTTACAACATAATTCTATGGATTATGGATTAATATATCCAACACATCTGTCATCCGTATAAATATATTTATGTTTACATTTATTTATGCTTAGTCACCGCGTTGTACACTAAACCATTTAATTTGTACCATCTTAAATCTACACTGTTTACCGACCATAAAAACGAAATGGCGACCCTGAACAGAAAATTTCTAAAACAGCAAGAGAAAAAGCTGAGAAGATAGCAAACAGTACAATAAAATAAGTAAACATTTGATTTGTAAATGGGCCAAACCTTACCAAAACGAAGTCGCCTTGGAATGGGAACGATACGAACCCCTTAATGCCCTTAGCAATTACTACTTAATTTTCTACCTTCTCTGCTTTCACTTTCATTTCAAGTCACATCCTGGTCAAAGCTCTTACAACGCCGGCCGAAGAAACCGACGGACATCCTGCTCCCCTTTCTAACTCAGGTTGAAGGAAATGAATTTAAAAAAACACCTTATGTACATTGCACAAAGAGGTTTAATTTTCTTACTTTAGAGAATGCTCGAAAAACCGATCTAACATTAAAAATACTCTTATTATAGTATTGAAAGCCGAAAGCGGTGAAATTCAGTAACCGAATTATAAAGTTACATCATCTCATAGAGAGAGCAGACAAGGGAGAGTGATGGTTATTGGTCTTAGTACATTTATGGTTCCAAGGACAAAATCTATAATAATTAAAGAAATCGATCTTTCAATTAGTCGCCGGAACAAAGCCAATCGACGTTGGCATCTCGTCCACAATGGTTAAAGCGACTTGCAAAACTCTTCTTATGAAATCATGCGCAGCATCATCCCATGGACTTTTGGACAGGAGAACTGTATTAGCAATGCACATGGAAGTTGCGGGTGTGGGGAGCACTACTGTAGCAGACCCGTTTATCGATTTGTTATGTACGTGAAATCCTTTCGTACAGATTCTTCATTGCTTTCTCATAAACCGTACAGACTACACTGTCACTAATTTTTATTAGAGCGATGATGGCAAATATAACAATTTTAACAGATAATTGCAGTTTATGCACGAACAGATCAGCTGATTGCCGTTTCTGTTTTCCCTCAAAAAATTAGTTATTTAGTAATTAATTTTTAACTAGTAATAATAAGAATAATGGAGTCGTTTTCATTAAATATAATACACTAACTCTCTCCATTGATTATCGCAATTATAAGAAGACACAACTTCGTTAATATCCATAATTAAGAAAGAAAAAAAAAGAATGAAGACTATGAACATTACTATTTGTCGGTCCAGGCCATAAGTCTAAAAGTAATCAATATTGTCTCAGCGATAATTGATGATACTGCCATAACGAATATCTTGCTGAGCGAAGGGAAAATTCATTCACCTCGCAGATACGCACAACAATGCGGGTACTCGGTATTATCAGAAGAAAGGCTATATTGGAAGTTTTAATATTTACCAATTTAATAAAACATCCTGGAAAAGCAACAAAGTACATTGACCCAAAGGGTTATCTTTAAAATTCCATATTTTTTTGCAAGAAAACTAACAAGTTTACAAAACCAAGAGGATCCATTTTTCATGTTAGCATGACATTGCAAATAGTACAGATTGTAAAAATCAATGAATGAACCAATAAATATAATTATAACAATAATTGTTACAGGTTTCTAACTAAGCAAGGTAAAGAATAAATGTATGTAAATAAATAATAATATTTATCTCAATTATGTGCAATATTTTTGCTACTTATTTCAATTTCTCTCAAGACAATTATCTTTTTACCAAGGGTTAGTGAAGTGATACTTCTTTACTTATTAAATATTAATCCATTTATACTTAGTCGTCTAATTGATCAAATTACTTATTTCAATTAATTATTCTTTTTATGTAAGGTCTTGGTTGAGATGAAAATGTGTGAGCGGTGGGGTGGTGTCAGAGTAGATCGAAGCCACGATAGCTCAAGCGGTTAGAACAGCGGCGTGAGCGCAAGGTCGTGGGTTCGAAACCCGCTCGCAACTCTGTCTTTTCATCTCAACCAAGACCTTACATAAAAAGAATACTTATTTATATAGTGTGGTGTTTATTGACCGTTAGCCAATGATTATTTGGAGATAGTGAGATGCGGTCTGGTATGACGTAGGTTTTTAGAAAAAAACATTTTCTTTATCGTGCCAACGTTTCTATCTTTATTGAGATCATCTTCAGGGCCTTGTGTTGTCTGCATTTCGACAAAAAAGTTCTCTGATTGATAACCGATGCAAGTTTCTTCTCATTGTTGGCGATGACCTTCCTTTTTGTTGAAATGCAAACAACACAAGGTCCTGAAGATGATCTCAATAAAGATCGAAACGTTGGCACGATAAAGAAAATGTTTTTCTAAAAACCTACGTCACACCAGACCGCATCTAACTATCTACAAATATCTTATATTGGACATTTTTATAAATGAGTTTTGTAAGCTAAAAACTACAGCTGAACTGGATCTCTTTGCTGATGATACGTCCATATAAGAGCCTTCTACAGGGTTGATTCTTCTACAGAGAATAACTGTAACTGTAAATAGGTCTTTTTCATCTCAACCAAGACCTTACGTAAAAGTATAATTAATTGAAATAAGCAATTTGGTCAATTAGACCTCTAAACATAAAAGACTTCTTGTATCCAGCAGGTCGATTATCTAGTTCATCGTTATAAATGGATTAATTTTTGTCACTGTTTATTTTGTCTCGCTTTAGATAATAGGGCGAAGAATGTAGAATAATCACAGAATATCAAAAGTCAGAGTGAATGGGTACTTAAGTTGCTTAATATTTAGAAGTTTATAAGGCAAATGCTATGTTGTAATTGTGTAGCCATTTTGTTGGATGTATTTCAAATGGGCGGAAAAACTTGCTGTTTTTTAACAGACTTATTTACCATTCCATTTCATTCATGTTTAGCCCTACATGTTCAAGAAGTAGTAACGAGTAGGGCTTGGTATAAAACATTTTTCTTATGAGAAATATGACTGTCTATTGGTAGCAATTATACAACAGAGATTTAGCGGGTTTATAATTAATCTTAGAGCCTAAAGTTAGGGAGAATCTACTACATATTTCATAAACCGAAAAGCTTGGCTGCCGATTCTCGCTGCACTTATATAAATAAGTGGTCCCGGGATAGCAGATTGAAAGAGTTGGAGAGCGGCGTCGGCGTCGGAGCATGGAATGGAGCCTGTGGTAGTTGGCATTCCTCTCCCATTGCGGCAAACTTTCTCTCCTCCCCCTCTTCAATGGGTCCACCAGTGTCACGAACAATCAGTCTAGACGTGTTACATCACGACCAGCTATCTTATAAGCCCGTTCAATTTTTTTCGCAAATCCTAGAACCCTAGATTCACCATGAAACAAGTTTCGTATTTCCAAACGTGTTTGGATATATTTTGAAACTGCATGGTGGTTGGACAGTTGGTGTTGGACCTCGAATCAGATCGCTAACCTGATCTCGTCGCTCGTAAAGCCTTGTAGGGGAAAGTCTGTTAACAATGGGACAGCAAGCATGTTCAGACGAAAGAACTTCATCTAATTATCATCAAATCATTCCCCTGGTGCAAATTCCAGATGGAAGTAAAGTTTACAAAATAAATCAATTATTCCTAATAAAAGTGACTACCTAATTTATCTGTAAAATAAATGCCTTTCAAGGACTTGAATAAACTTGAAATAACGTTTTGATGATTTCTGGCGATGTGTCTTGTACTTTTGATAAATCAACAATATTCCATAAATTATGTAGGGTTTATTGAAGTATTCCACCTGTTTTCCATTTATTTTAAATTTTATTACAAAATAATTGGAGAAAGGCTGATAACTTAAATAAACACTACATAATTAATGGACCAGCCAAGCAATATCAAGTTTACAAAGATATAAATATTCCATATACTTCAATGTTAGATACATAACTACTTCTAAACAATTTACATCTATTATTCTATCTTCGACTGTAAGAAACTAAAAATATTTCCAAAACTGATATTGTTGAAAAATATGAAACATCGATTACATAATGGAATCTTATACTTTATCAAACAGAGATAGTTTGTCTAAACTTGTTAATCAAATATCAGCATTTATTTAAAATCAGCATCATGCTATCAAGTGAAACTAATATTTCCAAATGTCAAGATCAAGCCAAACTGATTCTCGAAATGCGCCAATAAAAAATCTATGTGTACAGTTTTATTGCTAAAGCCTAATACTTTCCTGACATGACTAGACAGTTAAATATCTTGCTCTAGTGGTCATCAAGCAGACAAGGTGCTGACAGGATTGAAATGTATTCAATGCAAATTGGTGCGGGATGACCTTACGAGAAAGCCATGTGAACCGTTCCTTAATAAAAAGTAAGTTGTTCCCTTTGAATTTTGAAAAAGACGGTTAATTATTAGATTTACGATTACTTGTTACCAAACCAAAATCATAATAACTTAAAAACAAAATACACAAGTGTATGTAGTAATAATAAAGAAGAAATGACTCGTTTCGTATAGTCCAATAAGATACTGCTCAAGCAAAATCAATATAAAATTTAGAAAAAACAAACGTCTTCAAATTGAGATATTTTTTACGATAAACGTCATGGAAAAATTATACAGATCCAATATATAATGTTAAAATAAGAAAAAACCACACGCTTCCTATATTGCGGTTACAGTTGCCACCAATTGTCGGATTTTATCCAGGACTTTTTTTTTTACGGACCTTCAAGTGATGAGTCGCAGTGTCAAACACTTTACCAGTTGCTACTACTATCGCACATCCCCACTAAGACATTATTCTATTTTTGCATTTTTTTATCTTTTATATCACTGAAAATTGCAACAAAAGGAAATTCGTATAACGGCCCACCGTAGAAAAACAAACAAATGTATATGA